TGAAAATGGTTTGGCTTCAATGCCTTCAACCCAATGTTAGATTAGAATTTTTGAGATCCCTTATTTAATTAAAGGACAAGTTGTTGATAAAAGTTATGTTTTATTCTATTTAAAGAAAATAAGGTTGTTACAACCTATCATCTCACCCACATCTCTCACTTTCTTGATTTCTTTCTCAATCTCCCTAACTTGTTGATGATGCTACTCACTCAACTCTTTCATCTCTCTTGCCCCTCACACTTTCTCTCATTTTGTTATTTCAATGCATCCCCCAATCTGGAGCTTGTGGTGTTGCATGGTAGTTTATGGTGGCTTCTTGCTTTTGCAAGCTCGCTTCCGCTTTGATTGTGTTGGGCCAACATTTGTATTGATTAGCCAATAACACTATTAACCTTCTCAATTCCAAAATTTCTTGTCCTCCTTGCACGTTATTTTGCTTGTCCTTGGTCTCTCCTATAAATTGCTCCAGTACAAGTTTCAAGTTTCTCATATGGGTTTTTTTTTATTTGGGTGAAATATTTTTAAACAAACTCCACAATTTGTTTTATAGTGTAACACCTTGCCCTGAGTGTTATAAAAAGCACGCCACAACTCAAGAAAACTAAGTGTGGTTAAGGAGTTGATCCTAAAATTAACTTAGGAAACAAATCATTTAAACCACCAAACAATCTATACAATAGCAAAGCAAACATTTAAAACCTCTTTAAAAAGTTTGAAAGATTATAGAATAGTGCACGGAAGCAAATTGTGCAAACTGGGGCAAATAATTGCTATCATGACAGCCCTCTCGGGCAAATTTCTAGGAGGCGCCAATTCACCGTCTGGCCACCAATTGAAGTGATTTCAAAGGTCACACATCACTTTTAATGAGTACTAATAGTGTTCCAAATTTTAAAAATATCCAAATGTTAGATTAAAATTTGGACACGTTACAAGTTTGGACCTTTTTGTTGTCATGACAGCACCTTCGGACCAATTTTTGGAGCGCACCATTTCGTTATCTGACCTTTGATCGAAGCAATTACAAAGCCCACATGTCACATTCAAAGAGTATTACTAGTATACAAAATTTGAAAAGATTTGACAGATGGATTGAAATTCATACATGTCACAACTTCAGCAATTGTTGCTATCATGACAGCATTAAATAGCTATCATGCAGCACCTCCAGACCAACTTTCAGAGTGCACTATTTTTTCGTCTAATATTCGATTGAGATGATTCTAAAGCTCACATGAAGATTATAAATTTTTTTACTTGTGACCCAAATTTTAGAGAAATCCAACAGTTAGATTGAGATTTGGACACCCAAATACTAAAGTGCAGCTTTTTAGTAAAAACCATATTCAAAATTGTCCAAATCTTATCTTAAAGGGCACAAACTTGTGAAAACACTTTGGATATGTCAAATAGGATTACGAGTACCTAATAGAACATTCAAATGATAGAAAATTTCCTTATATTAAAATTTGATCACCCGGGTGCCATTTTTCAAAATGGACTCTAAGCCCCTAAAATGTGCAAATCACACAATAGTAGTCTAAAACAAATTCAAATACCATATACTCATATAAATACACATGCCAAATATTTTCATTTGGCTTAGAGATCCTTGTGTGGCCCACGCACCCATTCTCTTTATCCAAGGTGTATGTTTGCCCATAACACACAATTCATAATGCAACCACTTTACATTTGCTTGTAGAATCACATATATTCATTTTCATATCAAAATAAACATTTGCTTGTAGTGAAAACTTGGTCTACCAAATGAATCCATCAAAACCACATACTATAACTAAGTTTCTGACCCACAAGTCTACAAGTAGTAAAAATTCATACACAAGCACACAATCCACACATATTCACATATACGTATATTCACATTTTATTGGCACCCTAATCTAAATACATTACACTGTACTTACTCAAAAGAAAGGGGTTGCAGTTCTTTATAAATCACAAGCAAACCCCTATCTTTGCTCCTTTCCTGGTCTATTACTAGATCCTTCACTTGGACTTGTAAATATTGTAAAGAAAGAGGTGAGACAACCATAGTCTCAGTAACAGAAAAATCGATATTCCTTATTATAAGGAAAGCCATAGTCAAGTAAATAAATAACAGATTCAAAATAATATATAATTAATCAATTAAAATGCTTGAATACATGAGATAGACTGATATAGCCTTTCCTGACCAACAAAATGCTCCCTGGCACTCTTTAACTCACAGGTAAACCTTATACCCACTTATACATCCACAGGAATAAAATATAAACCAAGGCATGATCTGATTTACCGAACTGCCTGTGCCCTTTTGACGTGAACCCAGAGCCAGCCCGACTTACTCTCCATGTGAGGGCTATCTTGGCCTAAGCGCTCAACCTCACACTTCATATGCCAGATTTCCTCCCCCACTGAGAGGTGTCGAACACTCAATCTTCTAACTACTTTAGTGTACTGAGTCCACAATGTGAAAGGCAACACTAAGTACTGACAGTGAGCCATATAATATCACAAGACCACATCTCCCCATTGGTGAACTCTCATTGAGATCATGCCGCCTACCCTTTTCTACCTTTCTTGAGTATTGACCACTTTAATACTCTAAGATAGTATAACACTCATAATTCATCCCTTTTAGCGATTCCTTAGCCTATATAAGGTACCAAACTTAGTTTCACTTCATAAGTACAACTCCTCATTTTTATGACTACAATACATGTTAATAATCTTATTTTCATAAATAACATCATTATTAAATAGATAGTAAACATAGATGCATTATTATTAAAGTAATACCTCATAAACCCTTTTAAAACACATTGTGTTTGCATTCTGTTGTTTAAAAACACGTAATGCATGCTAGATAATATTATCTACTCAAAAATAGCTAAACAAAGCAATAAGAAATGTAAATTTTCCTGTTAACTCAACCCTTTTGTAGCAAAAGGGTTTTTTCTCGTGTAAAAATAAGAGTTGGCTTGTCCCTTAACTTCCAAATAAATTCTACCAATAATTCCTACATCATATAAGTGATCCACATCACTTGTCATGGCAAATAACATAATAGAAGGCTAAAAGTCATACCACACAACTTGGTTTAATGAGCCAAATCCCATCCCAATAGTCCATATATTAAACCAACCATTCACATAATATCACTTAACAACTAAAAATATTTATTAACCACCATTAGATCAATTTCCAAACCATAGAATTTTTAATAAACTAAAAATCTTTACTTAGCATTACCAACTTTCACAATTAGCTATTATAATGAAAAGCAAAGCTTAATTTAAATCTTATTGGATTCAAATAGCATAATTATAACTAAATCAATAGGCTTAAACCATTAAAGAGCAAAACCCAATCCTTTAGAGTTTAATTTTTGTCCTAAAACTCCCTTTTTGGTCTAATTGCCCACTCAAAATTTTAGAACACCATATAGAAACCCAAAACATCCTCCCTAGGATTTAAAGAAATAAAAGCTCACAAGAATAAATCTTTTGGGATCAAAATCTAGAATTTATCTCTTTCAAAAACTCAAGAAAACCAAGAGGAAAGGAAGATTATTGAAGTAGGGAGCTTACCTAAAGCGTATTCGAGCTCGCAATTACCGCAAAGCCTTCCAGATCGAGCTATAGCTCCCTCTCTTCCTCCTTTCTTCTCTTCGTCCCACTCTCTTGTTTCTTGCTCTCTGCTTCTTGTTTTGTTTCTTTCTTTCCTTTTTAATTTTTGTTTTCTGTGTTCATTTTCTCTTAAAAAAAATTGATCTAAACACATTGGAAAAGATTATAAAGAAGGGTCCAAATCTTTTGTTATAACACAAAAGCTAGGGGGTAACTTTGGTAATTTTTTTGATAATTAAAAATAAAATAAAACCAAACTTTTATTCAATAAAATTCAAATTCTGGACCTTTATCAAATTATTCTTAATTTTAATTTAACATATGTATATTTTATTTTAAAATAAATCTTAGTCTTAAAAATTTTGGGATGTTATATATAGTCTCTGGCTTGACAATTTCTCTCTTAAAAATGGTAGCATCTACCATATAAGTCTCTTTAAATCTATTATACAATTTTGCTATATTATTGTATTCGAGAATTTGATTTTGATTTACCTATTTCTTTTTCTTGTAAGTTTCTTTTCATTTTCTTAGAGTCTTTCATTTCTTTCTTCTTAGCCTCTTGGTTTGTTAATTGCTATTCTAATATTGTTGTTATTCTTTAAATTTTCAGGCATTTCCTCATAGCTTACTATGTGTTTTTTAATCATTACCCGTATCAAATTTATTTTAGTTTCATTATCTTTTGCTACTAAAAAATGACATATAGGAGTGCTTTTGGCAAAAATATTTCCAAACCAAAGAGCTGAAGGCTTTATAAGAAATAGTAAATTAAAAAAGAGTCTTTTAGAGCACTTCCACATGAAAGAAGTAATAATAATTAGGGCTATCAATTAGGGTCGGTCCAGCCCTAAAGGGTTGACCCTTGAAGGGCCAGGGTCTAAACGAATTGACCTTGTTAAGCTCGATTTCACTTTAAGGTATCATTTTGGCCAACTTGGCCTTGGCCCTCAGGGCTGAAGGGTCAGCCCTTAGGGCCTTGCCCCTATATATATATATATTTCTTTTAATTTTTCAATTTAAAATTCTAAAAAAACATATTTAAAATTTTAAAAAAGTTATTACACATAACATTAAATCTACAATGAGTTTAAGACAACATACACAATAACAAATTTAAGTCTCATTAAAAGTAGCAACATCATGAAATTAACACTGATAATAATGAAACTTTGCTAGTATCATCAACTAAATCTTGATGAGTTTCAATATCATCAAAATCAATATAATTTGATCATTCTCCTTGTGGAGCCTCATCAGTGGCAAAGATATTTAGCTTTTCATATCTTCCTTCTTCATCATCATTATCTGCAACGAGCAACAGATCTAGCATGATTGCGAATCTTCTATGGATGTGGAATAGAGCATATGACTCAAGCTCTAAGCATTGATGAGGGACAAAGCGCGAGTGTAGTGATAGATCACATAGGAAGGAGGGTTGTCACCGTTGGTCGTGGCCGGAGGTGGTTGATAAATGAAGCAAGACGCAGAGGAAGGATGGATAGAGCAAGGTTGCAATCACACTGTCACAGCCACTCACAAGTCACAGGCTCACAACCTCACAGGGTCGACTCAGTGCGTGAAAGGTGAAATCGTGAATGAGAGCTCTAAGAGGCATTGAGAGGCAGACTAGGTTTTTCACTTTTTTACTTCTTTTTTATATTAAAATTTTAAAAAAGTAAGAGGGCTTAAAAGGGTTGGCTCTTTTATTTTTTGGCTTAAAAGGGCTTGATTTACCATTTTAGACTTGAAAGAGGCAGCCTAGCCCTTGATTTTTTGGGCTTTAAAAAATAATAACAAGGGTAAAAGATCAAATTAACTTTAAAACTATAGGTTCAGAAGTGTTTAGTCTGTCCAAAAAAAAAGGTTCAGAAGTGTTTAGACGCTAAATTCATGTTTTGTGCAATGTTTTCCTAAAATTATAGAAAAGGGCACAAAAATTACAATAAAAGATTCAAAAATTACATATAAGAATAAAAATTACAAAAAAAAAGACCAAGAAAATTTTGTTGGTTCTTTTTTGTAATTTTTGATGTCATTTTTATCATTTTCTAATCAATTAATAGTTATAATTAACTTTTGTTAACGGCAATGACATATTGTATAATTTTTAAAATTTGGAGGGAATATTGCAAAAAATTGAGTTTACAATTACAAACATTTTTAAACATATAATTTATGATTTAATTTTCTCTTTTGCAGTAATAATAAAATAAAGTATAATAATTAATTAATAATTAATGAAAAAAATTATAATAATATTGTTTGAATATTGTATAATTATATTAATTATATAATTTAAAACTTAAATTAAATTTATAAGAAATTAAAATATAAGATAACATCTTATATTAAATTAAATATAAAAAAAATTAAATTTATAAAGTAAAAGTACATAAATATATATAAAATAATATTTATAAGATATTACATTTGTATTTTTTTTGTGCTTGGGTTAAAGTGCTGTCAAAGGAAATTATTTTACTGTATTTTTTTCAAGCATCTCTTTCGTTGGTACAAGGTATTTATTAATTTATTATTATTATTTATTATTTATTAATATTAACTATTTTGTTTTTGTTTCACTTAATATGTCGCATGACAACGAACTCTTCACACCGAGATCTCTCCATTTATTTTCTCTTTTTTTTAAATATATTTTTCAATCTTAACCATTTATTAAATTTTAATTAAAATAAATTTATTTAATAAAATAAAATCAGTAAATATGATTGGAAAATGAAAAGAAAAGGAGGAAAAAGAAGTGGAGAGATAAAAAAAAATCCTTTAGAATTATCATTTTTTTTTTAAGCCAACAGACTAATTTTTTTTTATATTAATTGATGTTTTTATAAAACAAGGTTTTTTTTAACCCTAGTTAGAACCTGAACCCCAAAACCCCATTCCATCGTTTCGAATTCTCCCTAGGTTCTCTCTTCCCCTACCCAAACTCAGAAAGCTCTCTCCCAGACACTCGGAAAGCTCATATCTAACCTCTGTTCAGTGCCGTGTTCCCATCCGTCGCTCCGATCTCGATTTCTGCCTTGTTCAATTTCGCAATTCCCGCCAGCTATTTCTGCCCAGATTGAGTTGCGTCGCACAGTGCGCAAATCCTGTTAGCTTCGACGATCTCCTCTTGGATTTGCGCCGTCAGTTCGTCTTCCAGCTAGGTCCGTCGCTTGCACCGCTTCTTCTCGTGTCCGTGCATCCTCCAGTCCTCCTCAGCATCGTTTCGTCTTCCTGCATTTGTGGCCGAAGCTGTTCGGTCCGGCAAGAAAAGTATTGGAGAGAAATTTCATGGACTGTAATCGACCTTGTACATTTTTTAGATCAAAATTTAAGAAGTGAGGGTTTCGATCACAGGAAAGAAACAAAGAAGATGACATCACTTGGATCCTTGGTCCTAAGGCTTCCTGCATCTCCTTCAAGGACCCCTTCAGGTGGTACACTAATGACCATGACTGCTTTGTGAGTTCTCATTTTTCGTCTGTCTTGTGATTTGTCATGCCTTTGATCTTGGATATTTTGTTCTTGTCCTTTGTATTGTGATTGCTTGTCTTCTGGCTGTAGAAGTAATCCGTTTGTGATGTTCAATTTATGTGATAAAATTACTCAGTGTACAGCAGTGAAATCTGTGTGATGATTTTGCTGTCTTTCCTTTTTGAATTTTGTTTTTAGTTTTGTTTTTATTTTTCTAAAAATTGGCTTTGTATTCACAGACTTACAGTGGAATTTGTCTTCATTACTAAGACCTGCAATTTGTCTGTATTGTTGCGAACATTGTTTTAGATGTCTTTCTATTTTATATCTTTAATTAATTCAATTTATATAAATTAGTTGATTTCATTTGAAACAGAGATACCATGTGTGTAAGATACAGTGGGATCCACGTTCCGGGATGGCCCACCACTCTTGGGATCAATGTCTTTTAAAATGACAGATAATCAAGCTATTCGTTTTCTTCTCTTTCATCGGTTTGCATCTCTACATTCATTTTGGGATTGAAAGATTGGAATTGCTTGTTCTGTTTTCTTTCTGTATTGTTAAATAAGGGATTTCGTTATTTACATCTGATGGAATTCTAAGATCCAGGAGTCGGATTTTCTATTGACATGAGTAATATTACTTGTGTGTAGCATATTTTGTAATGTTTGAGAATTTCATTAATTTATTATACTTGCTATTGCATTTGTCACTTATAGTCTAAGGATTTATATTTCTACAATACGTCTAATATATTTTATTATTGCTTTTATGGGTTAGGTTGCTAGCGATCCGTCTGGAAAGAAGATCAATGCAGTTGAACAGCATATCAAGAACTTTCTCAGTCCATCCACTTCCTTTTTTTTCAACACCCTACATGATCCTTTCTGTGAGGGTGCAGATTTGTGGCTACCCTTTCAGTCTCTATGAAGGTGTTCTAAGTGCTGTTTCTCATGGCCTCTAGCTTAACATCCCAGATTATGATGCACCTACACAGCTTGTGAAACCTCTTGAGAGGAACAATAGGTATGTACGAGAGTGTAGACTCTTGAAATTTGGCTATAAACACTAATATGTTACTTGATTTTAAGTTTGAGTATTATCACTATGGTTTTAAGGTACATGGATGCGGTTTTGACTTTTGACCATACCAAAGGGAACTCTATTCCCCATGTGTGGAATGAACATGGCATTTGATCGTGAGCTTATTGGACCTGCCATGTACTTTGGTCTCATGGGTGACTCTTAATTTGATTTCAATGTGATTGTAGATTGTAGATTTTAAGGATGGTGGGATTGTCAACATATTATTTGCCATTCCTTTTCTAATTATTCATCTAATCAAGTGTGGCTCTATATGATATTAAAGAAAATAAGAAAGGATTTGCTTATGCTTATTGTTGACATTTTTGTTAAATATTATTGTGATCTTGAGGCACCAAACTTGTTTGAACTATTTTGAATCCTTGGAACTATCTTGAGTTACAATTTTAATATGCGGGTTACAACTCTATCCAAAATAGTTCTAACTATTCAGTGGCTTTGTCTCAATCATCTTCATCAATTAACAGCTCATGTCTTCAAGTATGTGTAATAGCTTATTTCATTTATTAAAGTCATTATTAACTAATGGAGTTTTGGGCTTTAGGGAACATCCTATTGTTACATGAGCTCCTTTCCTTTCTCCCCTCGTGTATATTGAAATATATGTAAATATTTATTTCTTGTTAATTTTAAATTATACGAGATTGTTTTAGTGGACCAGAATGAAGTAATTGTGTTTAGATGGGATCATAAAATTAGGGAATGAATTAATTAAGGACTTAATCCTATCAGAATATTTCATATGTTTTTCTCAGCACCGTAGTATCAACTTAGAACTGTGGAGCTAGAAGACTTAGGTGCTCGAATTATTTGTATCTATTGTGCTTTATGTAGAATGACGTGCGTGTATGTATTTATATATTTGAATCCATCTTGAGATTATGACTCAAATTTATAAAATCATTTGTGATTGTTTTTCTATATTAATAATTCACTGTGTCTTTTACCTCTAATATGCTTTTAATTGTAGGCTCTAATATGCTTTTAATTGTGGGCACTGGATGCTTTTAGGAAAAATATGGTGTGAAAAAGATGATTTTTATTTTCTTATGCTTCAGAAGCGCTCCCATAGGTTCCTCCTACAAGAGCGCTTCTGAGCAAAAGCGCTCTAGTAAACTGCCCCTTCACTGCTTCTATAGGTTACCTGTACAGGAGCACTGAAGCTCTTTTGTAGGCAGAAAAAAAAATCGCTCTTGTAAGCTACTTTTGTAGAACTGCCTTTCACTTTTTAATATTTGATTTAATTTGATTGAAATATTGGATGCTACATTTGCAGGTAGTAGTTATTCTGGCACCATGTGTCTGCTAGATCAACTCTATGAATTGGATCCTCCATGAAATCTCCATCTTGTTGTATTCTTTCCCTCACATTTACTTTGCTCGTTCCTTGGTTTTTTGCTAAAAGTGCCTGGATTTAGTGTTGTTCAAGTGTGGGGGGAGCTGCAACCCCACTTCATTAGCATTTAATTTTGCATTTATGTCCTGTATTCATGCATTTGCATTGGCATTTTCATTAGTTTTTCCGCCCTTATTCTTGGCCTCTTGGGTCTTTTGACTTCCTTGTCTTCTTCCTTAGTCTAAGGCATTGAGGGCAGTGCCAAGTTTAAGAGTGTGTGTGTGTTATTTTTTTTTGGGGGGGGGGGGGTAACATTGCATTTTGTATTTTTGGTTTTATTTTTAGATTGCATTCATCTTTTGCATATTTTTGCATGAATTTGTTGAGTTGGCCAATTTTCAAAATTTTTGGAATTTTTTTTAAATAGTTTTGTAAAGGTTTTAGAAAATTAAAATAAAAAAAACTTATTTTTTTCATTTTTCATTTATGTAATTATATTTTTTGTTTTTCTAATTGATCTCGTTTTTTTTCCTTATTTTTTATTGTTATTGCTGGACTATTTTTATTAATTTTTATTTTTAATATCATAGGAAACTAAAATAATTTGAAGGTCTTTTCTCCACTCATCTCTTCATCATAATATTTCTAATTCTTTAGTCTTGTTTTAGTTGTTTCTAACTTAGTCTTGTTTTTGTTGTTTCATATTTTAACATGAATAATGTTTGTGGAGTTATTTATGTTGTTTTCATCTTATGTATGTAATTTGTTAATTTTTTAATGCACTCTTTCTTCTTTTTTTCCCTATTGTTCACCAATTTATTTCCATTTTTTTTATCACTCTATATCTTCTTATATATTTATATTTTCTTTTGTGGCTTATTAATTTATTTATTTTTTCTTGATCGTTCTTTTCTCATCTCTTCATAATGTTTCTTATATCTTAGTGTTGTTTTACTTGTTCCATATTTAGATCTGATATTTGGGAAGTTATCTATTTTGTTTTCATCTTTTTATTTATATTAATTATTTTGCACTGTTTATTTATATTTTTGGTTTTTTCTTTTTATCTTGTTTGTTTTCTCTTTCCTATTTTTTATTATTATTGCTGGATTATTTTTATCAATTTTTATTTATAATATCACGGCACACTAAAATAATTAAAATTTTCATTCAACATCAATTAGCTATGCTTTTAGCTGTTTATTTTGAAGTGGGTAAGTATCTTATTCAGTTTATTAATTTATTTTCACTTGTTCATATCATTTTCCTTATTTACTTTTAATGCGCTGTACTTTTTTTCCTTTTATAGGAAACCAAAACCAATTTGTTTCCCTTTTTTTTGTGCTTTAATCTCCTTATAAATTTATTTTTCTTTTATAGTCGATCGTTTCCCGATCATCTTTTCATGATAATGTAAAAAAAGATTTGGGGAGTTATTTATTTTATTTTCTTTTTTGCATGTAATTATTGATTCTTTTGCATTGTTTATTTTGAAACAGGTAATTCTCTTGTTTAGCTTATTACTTCTCATGTTAATTTATTTTTTGATTAATATTTTAATGCACTCTTTCTGTTTTTTTCGTTAGTTAATCAATTTATTTTCTTTTTTTATTACTCCTTCATCTATTCTTATATATTTATTTTTTCCTTTATAGTTGATCAATTTATTTTTTTTTCTTGGCCATTCTTTTCTCATCTCTCCAGCATAATGTTTATTAGTCTTGTTTAGTTGTTCCATATTTAGACCTAATTGGGGAGTTATCTATCTTTTTTATTTACATAATTATTGATTCTTTTACACTGTTTATTTATATTTATTTGATCTTGTTTCCTATTTTTATTATTATTGCTGGATTATTTATAATATCATAGGAAACTGAAGGTCCTGCTCCAACTCATATTTATTTTTCTTTAATAGATGATCAATTTATTTTATTTTTTTCTTGATCACTCTTTTATCATCTCTTTATCATTCTAGTCTTGTTTTTGTTGTTCCATATTAGACCTCAAAATCTATTTTTGTTTTCATCTATTTATGTAATTATTCATTCTTTCACTGTTTATTGTTCTTTTAGAGTTTCAATTCTTTTCTCTGCTCATCTCTTCATCATAATGTTAACATCATAGTTATTTATTTTATTTTTATCTTTGAGTATGTTGATATAAATTGTGGGTTTCTTTTGGGTTAAGTTCATTTATTTTGGATTGTATATATTAATGATAAAAAAAAAAGTGTGTTTGCCAACATTGATGATGTCCATAAACGGATATTGAACCTTGGGCTTGTTGCAAATTGTTTATTAAGCTTCATTTGCCTTAAGCCCAGTGGTAGTTATATTTTTTATTATGTTATGATAACAATTTGGTCTGTTACAACAAATCATATCAATATTGCTCGATGGAATCTAGGGAGGATGAGAATGTTGGAAATTGTGCTTTAGAGTTAATTATTATATTATAAACATTGTTATTTATAATTTTTTTATTATCATATTAATTGCAGGTTCACTATGATAAATGTATCTTTGAATAAACTATATTGATAGATGAAACAAAGTTAGTATAGAGATATAAATTAAAATCATAGGCAGTTGAAAGAGTTTGAGTTACTAGATTGACTCGCTATGAGAAAGTTGTATGGTACAAGTCATATGTAATCATATCACTAAGCCCTTTGATGAGATTATTATGGATTTTTACATGATGATTATTAAACTTTGACCTAAATCTTTAATCGGGTGATCATAAAGACTATGATTGTATTTATGCAAAGGAATATGAGTGGTCAAGATGGAATTTATTTCTCACATTAATTGCAAGATATTATTGGGCCCCTTGATGAGTAAGATTGAGGAAATATATGGTCATAATACAATTGAAAGGGTTTTTTTGAAATTATAATATAATATAAAATAAGTATTATTTAAAAATTAATTTATTTTATTTATAAATAAAATAATTTTAAATAAATATATTTAAATTATATATATATATATATATATATGGGTGGTTAAATATTATATATTTAATTTATTTTTTTAGCTCAATTGATAATAAAAATTAGACACAAAGGCTCATAAAGGTTTGATCACTTTACCCGTTGCATTATCTCCCATGATTTGGTTGTTGTTATGGTTTTAAGTATTTTATTTTATTTAATTCATGATGTAATGTGAGGCCACGTTTAGTGAATAAATTTATATTGATTATTAAACGATTACAAACAACAAAAGGCTCTCAGACCAGTAACCAATCTAGAGACTGGCCCATCCAACATTTTTAAACACTGCTAGCTAATAAATGTTAAATTTTTTTATATTAAATATGCTTAGTAATAATATACTTTACCAAAATAACTTAAACCATTTAATTATATATTTTTTAAGTTTATATATTTATAATGTATCTTCTAATCTTTTGAGATTTTTTTTAACATTTTTTCTACTACTTTTTTTCCCCCTTTTTTTTTTTCATTTTCTTTCTCTTTTTGCCTGCTTGTATATTTTTTAGTCTCAGGTCTATTTTTTAATTGAATGAGTTCAAAAAAAACAGAGCATGACCGAGGAAACAACGAACTAACCAACAAACAGAAAGTAAACAAAAATAAAAGACAGTGACATGCAAGCCAGACAAAGACAGAAGAGCAAAAATCCAAAAGCTGCATGCAGCGCCTGATGATGGACCTCCATGATGCCGCAACCCATGAAGGTCTCCTTAGGAGTCATCCACCATGACAATTCTTTTGGCATAAACCTCGTCAAACCCAGAAATCCAATCGTGCTCTCTCTCAATCCCGGAGAACAGAGCAAAGTTTCTTTTGCACAGCAGAGAAGCAGTTGGTCTACTGAGTATCGCAATAGGTGATGAAGCAATATTTGAAGCTACGACATACCCGAGACCACCTAGAAAGGAGTTGTTAAGAAGCACAGAGTGACAACAAGTATATGATGTGAAGCCATTCTATTGACGATGAGAATATTTGGGTGTCCACCATCCGAGTCAGCCACATGCATGAAGTCATAGTATACATGACCAACAAGTGGCATTACTCGCACATAAATATCATGAATCATTAGACAGTCAGCAGAAGTTGGATAATACTGTCTTCCTTTAGCTTCCCCTGACATGTCAAAGAAGCCAAATCCCATGACAGGTCGAAGAAGCCGAAGCTGTAGCTTCGAAATATGCCATAGAACAAACGAACCCAAGTAAAACGAGGGTCTAACCAACAGTGAGAACCAACTCGAAGTCTA